ACCGAAATGAAAATGGCGAGTAGGCGCATTTCTCCTTACACGTCTTTCAACTGCTTGAGAGCCAACGAGCATCGGTATCTGAGCAGACTAGTCCCGTCAATCATTCTACGTTTTAGTATTTCATTCACCTTCCGGTCTCTATGATGAGGTGTTAAAAATAAAGACGCAACAGCGACATTCTGTTGACGCCTCGGATACGTCGCTCTTCAACTCGGATACGTCGCTCTTCAACTCGGTTACGTCGCTCTGCAACGCGGTTACGTTGCTCTGCAGTTCATTGAACCTCGTGTCCACATCCTCCTTCAGTTCATTGAACCTCGTGTCCACATCCTCCTTCAGTTCATCGAACTTCCTGTCCACATTCTCCTTCAGATCTTGCACAGCACCATAAATATTCCTGTACGGAGTGTAAATCAAAACAAACGGTATGCTTCCAGGATCCACAAACGACGTCAATTCATGGTGATCAGAGGCCAGAGAGAAGAACCTGCTCAAACATCCACTGACCACCTCAAAGTCCTCTCTGTTGCCATTCGTCAACAAACCTATCGCCGCAATCTTGGAGTCTTCGCCAATCATCTCACCCTTCAATACATTGTACAGCCGATTGACCTGAAACAGCTTTTCAAAGATTTTGCCAGGCGTCTCCGTGATTTCAAAGCAGATGTACTCCTCCTTCATGACTTGGAGGTCCTCATATGAGACTCCATGCTTTCCGAATATCCTTACATCCTGAGCGGGGTTGACGACCACGTCCTTGAAGATGGTTTGAAGATCGATGTCATTGTCAAAGGTCAAGCACATGTCCGCTTGATATTCCGATATTGTAGCGAGGTCAATATCTTTAGTATCATCCATCCGACTGATCTTCAAAGGTTTTTTCTGTCTTGTGGCGCACTCTTTGTAATACTCTTCGCACGCGGCGAACACCACTTGGTTAACTCTTTCAGCGTATCCTTTAGTGAGAATGCCACTATCTTTGAGCTTTCTCCTCGTCTCCTCGTCCGCTGGCAGTTTCTCCCGTCGATGAAAGCCTATACTTGCACATCTGCTGAAGATCGAGCTCTCGAAATTTGATTGCATGTTCCCCGGGAGGTTGGCGGGAGAATCGATGTAGTAGCAGGTAGCCTTGCCCTGCCGCATGATTCCTGGCCGCGCCAGCATTTGCGGCGAGGTCTGCCTGCGATGAGACCTCTGCTGCAAGCTCTGCCTGTGGTAGTATGTCGAGAAAGATTGCAAGTAGCTGCACACATGCTCTGGCGAGAACACGAGCACGAGCGCCAGCACGAGCCCTCGTGTTGCAAGCATGTTTCTTTTTTAAAACATTCTTGTATTGACTGAAAAAGAAAGTCAAACCGGATGGTATTCGATAGAAATGAGCGGCTAAATATATATAGGATGATAGATAGAACAATACAAACTATTTGGATGGTAATACTTCAATCATTGTAAAGAGTATGAAAATATCTGTTTTGGTACTAACTTAACTTACATTCGGCATTTACAAACAGTTATTGCTGAAGTACCGTACTAGCACGACCCCGTACAAAGTGCTGAGCTTGGTACCGTAGTACTACTTTCCCGCCAACAAACTTCTGCTAGGCCCGCCCCGGCATTCCAGCACCGCCATGGGGCCGACCAGCTCGGAAGCCCGCCCCAGCAACATGCCCGGTAGTACAGTGTCAGTGTTATGATGCCTTGTGACGGACTCGGATGGTAATAGGCTGGCCGGGTCCACCGGCCCGGGGGGGTCACCGGGGGAAAGGGGCCGGGCCTCACTCAGTTATTGATGGAAGATTGCGGCGCCGGGTTGACAAAACTCTCCTGTAAACCCAGACGAACCTGATTCTGTGTTTCAGGACGGCGATGTACTACGGTAGCACGCGTGATGATTTTCACCTCCCCCAGACGAACCTGACTCTGATGTGTTTCAGGACGGCGATGTAGCACGCGTCACCGTCAGTAACAGTGAAGAGGAGGCCTTCCTAGCCGTCTTGCTCCTAAGGTCTTCTCATGTCTGGATGCTAGCCTGGGCCTCACTGGCATACAGTTGTCTATCTCTCATAGGCTCCTCAATTCTGGTTTCGTGTGCATTCAACTCGGTCTTGAGCAAACGTGTGACCGGACTGTCTTGTTGCAATTAAGGTTGACATGATATCTGTATTACTTTGACTCAGTACAAGTCTGACAAACTTCAACGGTAGTCCGTCGGTTATACCCGGCCCGAAATGAGCCCCTTCCATGGTGATGACTTATCCCGACCACTACCCTACCCCCCCGCCCCTACTATGATGACCCCAGCAGTACGGTACCAAGGGCCTGTGGGTAGGTGAGAGATTTGAGGGGGTAGGGGTACTCGTTTACAGAAGTTGCTAGCTAAAGAGGGGGATAATATCAGGTAAAGAGGGGGTACATTTGTACAAGGGGTGTTACAATAGGGAAAGGGGTGATGGAAGTTATTTTTCTCGGGTGGAGACGACCCTCTGCAGGTGGGGTAGGGGGTACTTTGACAGATCAGTCGCTTGACGCCGGTCACGATGGCGCCGCATAGCGAGGCGGCCGCGCAAAAGACGGAGAGGGGGGGAGGAGGAGGAGAGGGATCGAAGATGGAGAGGGGGAAGGAACTTCAAGAAGCCCGAAGAGGGGGGGGGGGGCGAGGAAGAGAGCCGGAAGGATTGCAGGCAGGCAGGCAGGCAGGTAGGCAGGCAGGCAGGCAGGCAGGCAGGCAGGCAGGCAGGCAGGCAGGCAGGCAGGCAGGCAGGCAGGCAGGCAGGC